GACAGGTTAAATATGAGGCAAATGGTGGTTTCTCCTCCAACAAGTTGGAATGAAAACCAACCCAAGTTATCACTGACGGGGCCTTGTATTTGTTCAGGGCGCATCTCACACATCGTTAAATGTTTTTAATGGCTGTCTAGGGATTGATTCCGTGGATGTTCTAGATTTATAAACTGTCCTGTTTCTCATTTGCTTGCTTGCCCTACCCCCCAGCCCATGAGAAGCAGTCCGGGCATCCTTTGTGCTGCATTCAGTTGTCGGCCCAAAACATGTGCATTCTTCGGGTGGGTGTTCCTCGAATATATTAGGTACCTTAAAATGAGCAGCCCTGCTTTGCACTTCAGTGTCTAAGGGACATGCTAAGAATCTGAGACGTAGGACTCACCTCCCACCCCTCAATGTCAAGCAAGTTCACACCATGGTAACACATTACAGGAGATGGGAGAACAGTTAAGTACCACTCGTCTGTTTTAGTCACAGGCCAAAAAAAAGGGTCAGGTGGCGGATGTCTTAGTTCTACGATAAAATGACACACTGCTGAATAGCCATCCTCTCTGCCATCAGTATAAACAAAACATACACAGATGGTGGTGTAGAGGAAGTACACACTTTGGGTCATTTACTGGAAGCAGCATTTGAGTCTTTGTGAGTTATCTAGATGTTCTAATTGACATTATCATGTTAACTGAAGTCCTCTTATGACAACCAGGTGAGAAGTCCCTGTCGACCTGCCATCCATAACATATTTCTTATCTCCTTTTGCTTCAATGACTTGGTGCTTGAGTTTACGTCTTCATTGTGTTTGTGAATTAAACCGAACAGTTAGAAGTTACTGAAGGCTCCCATCATAATTCAAGGATTACGATCAAATCACTGACAGTGGCTTATGGAGTTTCACATACACACAATAATGTCTACAAATTCTTGCTTATTCTCGAAAACATTCTCCACAAGAGAAGGGCATGGCATTTTGCCGTATCCAAATGTAGAGCTGAAACTGCAAGCCAAACACTTCTCCTAGATGGATGGACGTTACCGGGCCACAGTGCAAAGTGTTTTGTGGGAGTTGGATGAGCAGTAACAGGGTGGACACGGTAAACAGAGAGGCAAAACTTTCTTTTCTTCTCTATCAAGAAAGGGGGAGTTCATATAGCTCATGGGAGAGTATTTCAGGCTCATCCCTTCTTGGCTTCCATATTTTCAGAGTCTTTGATCTGCTTTGCATATTGGTGTGGGAGTTCCCTCTGTGTGTTGTGATTACCATTAATAAATAAAGAAACTGCAGTGGCCTGTTGATAGGGCAGAACTTAGGTATATGGGAAAACTATACGGAATGTTGGGAAGAAGAAGGAAGAGTCAGGGAGATGCCATGGAGCCACTGCTGGAGATAGATGCACTGAAACTTTGCTGGTAGGCCATGACCACGTGGTGATGCACAGATTAATGGTGATGAGTTAAATTAGAATGTAATAGTTAGCCAATAATAAGGTAGGGCTAAAGGGCTAAGTAGTGATTTAATTAATACAGTTTCTGTGTGGTTATTTCAGGCTAAGCTAGCCGGGCAGCCAGGAACCAATAGCATATGGACTCCTGAATAAGGTAGTGTTGGAAAGAAAATTCTGGGTTAAAAAACATTGGTTATGCAATTTTGTGTCAGAACCCCAGTCAAAATCTTTCAAATAAGGGACTAATACTTGAAAGAGCAAGAGTAAAAACACCACCAGCTTCACCCCATTTCCCCAGATGCCCTTCATGGGTCCACATGCATGACACAGCCGTCGGGAAAGAAACGGAAAAGCCAAGACCCCTTTGGGGGTCGAATGACCCTTTCACAGGGGTCACATATCTGACATCCTGCATGTCAGATATTTACACTAGGACTAATAACAGTAGCAAAATTAGAGTTGTGAAGTAGTAACAAAAATAATTTTATGCTTGAAATCACCACAGCATAAGGAACTGTATTAAAGGGTGACAGCATAGGACGATTGAGAGCCACTGCCTTAAAGGGTGGACCTTGCAGTTACCCACCGCTATGAGTGCCTGTTCAGAGATCATTGTGGAAGCAAAGCAGACATTATGAGACCAGGAATAAGGTTATCGAGCATCCCAGTCCCACCGCCTGGCATTGGCATTCTCATCTGGTACTCGAGATTCGAGACAGTGAACACTGGTCAATGAACAGGCACTGGCTTGATTTCTACTCCAGAAGACAAGGGTTTTGTACAGAACTTCTGGAAAGTCATCTTCCTCATTCTTCTTTACCAGCACAGCACAGACATTAACAGTGAATCCCCACGGAGAAGTGCTTAGCAGTTCTGAGCTTTGTATTCTGAGCAGGGGGCTTTTGAACACAACGTCAGTTCTACTTCCTTCATCCTTCGGATGCATAAACATCACTTCTTATGCTTCATTGCTCATAAATAAAAACACATTTGTTTTAGATCGTTTATGAGACTAATATATTAAAGTTCTGCCCTAAAATTTGTGAATCCTCTGAGTACTTGATAGGGAAGAAAAGAATTTCCATGGGGAATATGTTTGGGAAACAATGGGTCTCTTGATGATTCAAAATGCACATTAGAACAATGAATTACTAAAAAGGATTTCTTGAGTTTGTTCCATAATACTCCTAAATTCTTTCTCCCATCTTCTTTCTTTTTCTTTCTGTCTTTCTCTTCCTTCATTTTCCTTTTCTTTAGATACAGTCTTATCGGGGCCCGTGAAAATGTTTTTGGAAAATACCACACTTACCTGCTTACAAAAAAAATAAAAATAAAAAAAATAAAACAACTTGTAAAGGTTGATTTTTACTTTCTCCGTAATTATAGAGTCACCATCAGTTCACAGAAGAAATTAAATGAACAGATTGTATATTGATGACACACCAAAACACTGTTGAAAGTTTTTTTTTAACACCTCCCCCTCTAAGTTACTTGATGTCAATTATATGGGAGTTTTACAGGAATAAATTATTTCAAAATTGAATGAAGTTAGTCCATATTAGGTCTCTTGATCAGAGTAATGAGATGTGAGGTTGGGAACAAGCTCTGAAGGGCATCTGGCAATCAATCTACAGGCACGAACAGATATTGAATTGATAAAGGTGTTGAAATGGTTGTTTGCATAAAGTTAAGTATAACAAAAGATATATTAATTTCTTTCAAGCTAGGTAGACTAAAACTCTGCCTGCAGGGTAAAAGGACCAGCCAAAAAAACCCATCCTGGCCCTGAACCCAGAGCTCCTGAAAGAAATTCACCCTGGCCCTGAACCCAGAGCTTAGTGATAGAAACACTTTAGCCCAGAACACAGAACCTAAGAAACACATTGTCTCTCTGAAACCAGAGCCAAAGAAATACACCTTGGCCCTAGAATCATGAAGACTGACTGAGAAGCCAAGGACAATGGCACTGGATTTTTATTCTACTGCATGGACTGACTTTGTGGGAGCCTGGTTTGTTTGGACGCTCACCTTTATAGACCTGGATGGAGGAGGGAGGACCTTGGACTTCCCACGGGGGCAGGGAACCCTGACTGTTCTTAGAGAGGGAGGGGGAGGTGGGGAGGAGGAGGGAAAAGGGAGGCAGGGAGGAGGTGAAAATTCCTAATAAATAAATAAATTAATTAATTAATTAAAAAAAAGAAATATGTCTTAGCCTTGAAAATAGAGCTAAAAGACTAAAAAGGGTCTGCGAAAGAAACACAGTTTGGCCCTGAAACCAGAGTCAACTCTGCCCCTGACCAACTAAACCAATCAATCCCTGAGCAGAAAAACAGACCAATCACTGAAAAGAAAAATCTTCTCCCTGAAAAATCCACCCCGAAGAAGCCCTATATAAAAAAAGCCTTTCTGCCTGTTCAGTTGCTGGCTGCCCTTTCTCACCATGGCAGAGGCAGCCACTTTCCTGAACTCCTGCTTCCCAAATAAATCTCTTTCTTAAAAGGGTTTTGGGTGAAGATCTTTCATAGGCTCAGAAGAGGACTTTGGCTGGTATGTTCCCTTAGGGGGTCTGCGCATAAAAAAATCAAAGAAGAACCTTTCCTTATATGTTAGGGGAGCTGAGTAGGAAAAAGTAACAACTTTTCCCAGGAGCCAAAGGAGATTGCTACATTTCTGTAGGGGCTTCCGGTTAGCAGAATGAAGCAGAAGAAGCAACATCTTTGGCCAAGAGCTGAGCAGAGGAGAAAAGAACAGTTCAAATAGAACATTCCCTTAGGGGAACAGAGCAGAACTCAGCTGTAACTGCTCTCTAGGAGAGGAGCAGGATTACTATGTACTGGGGGTAGACCATCCCCCACCACACCCCAGCTTCAGGTATAGCCTGACTTCCCAATGAGTCAAGCTTGACTTCCCAATGAGTCAGGATGCCTTTCCCTCCAGAACTTTCCTCTTGCAGCTCCAGCCTCCAGAGGTGTCCCTTTGCCTCTCCAGAGCTGTACCACTGGCTTACACTGCCTCTGTCCCTTGGTAGCAGAGAGACTGTAAGGGGAAAATGAACTTATCTGTCAATACCCCAGGATGATGGTAAGGGGACTTCCTTTAAAATGTCATTGGGATGAGTAAATGAGGTTGGAGAGGTACTCATCTAAGCAGATTTATCTGGTACACAGAGAGAGTATTAGATATTAGTATCATGAAACATGTTATCAGCCAGAAGTGCACAGTCAATATACAATTAAATGTAACCTACAAATCTAGATAGAATGTGAGGAATCTTAAAGTTGGAGAAAATAATTATATAAGTGGGGTCTCTCTGTTGATAGTCCCGAATGCTGGGCCATAGTGGGAGGCTATGGAGGACAATCAATACTGGGTTAAAGGCAAATCCTCCCAGTGTGGAGTGCGGAGGTGGACACACTAGTTATGACATTCTGTGGCTTCAAGCAGCATTTCTTCCTACCCAGAAGTCCTTTAGAGCCTGCATTTTTCTCCCAGAAACTACAGAAGGATTCAAGCCTCCCGCTGTGAGGCTGCTAAGCACCAATCATCATTCCTTACCTGAAGGGGTAGGCAAAGGCTATGTCGATGCTGAGGTTACTCTCTGTCTTGTTAACGCAGTCCACACTCAGCCGCAGGCCTCCTGAATAGCCACCACATGTTGCAAATGCAAAGATTGCAAAAAGCTGCGGAGAACAAGAGAGAAAAAGAGAAAGCAGCTATTAGGATGGCGGGGGTCATAAAATCATAATCTGGAGCGCAGGGTCAGGGCAGAAAGAGATCTTAGGCCTCTGCAGAGCAGCATTGCCTCCTACTGAGCTGCAGGAGGATGGACAGGAGGATGTCAGGCTGCAGGGGTTCTAAAGAAGAGTCCTGTAACTTAGAGAAATGCTGCTTTGGGGGGCGGCGGAAATGACGGTGAGCGCATAACGCAGCACCACGCCTCAGGCGGTGATAGCATAATTCCATAGACTGAGACCTGGAAAGGTGCCTGCGGATGCCTCCAGAGAGGTGTTTCCTTTACATTTACCGGGGTCATTTTCTTCAATAAACACGATATTTCTTTTGGAATGGTATAGATTGCTTTCTGTAAAAGCATGGCCTGAGAAAGCTAGAGTTAGGGCACAGAAGATCGGTTGAGTAAGAGGTTTCCTTCGGAGCATCGGCTCTCAGAGTGCTTTGCCTCAATTCCCCATGGGCAGCCAAGGCTCTGCGTTGCCTGCAGTTTCTAAATTAACCAGTGGAAGATTCGGTGCTATGAGCTAATATCATGCCCTTTCCTGATGGGAAATAGGATCTGTGGGGAAGAAGGCACTGAAAAGGAGGAGTATGATCTCAGAGAAGTCTTCCAGACCTGAGAAATGCCAACGAGGTGGCAGTAGCCCATGCCGGGGTGTTTCCAACATGAGAAACAAGGAATAGGAGACTCCATTACTTCATACTCTGCCTAAATTTAAAAGGATGCCCTGCTCATGGCCAAAGAAAGCCACCCCAATGCGGTCTGCACTAACTCATCCTAAAAGACTCCAATTTATTTTAGTTTTGGAGAGCAGTTTCTTGTAGTAGTTTGTCCTTCTACCCACACTGGGGGCCTGAGTTTCACTTTGTGCACTGAGAGGAGCAAATTATGTGTGGATTAAAGGCAGGGACCCTGGAGGATAATGTTGGGGACATTGCTATAGCCATGACTTAGTTTCCTCCTCAACAAAACAGCACTGGCAATATGTCTTGAGCTATTCTGCTGTTTGTGACATGAGACAAATAATTACTTGGGGGAAATCTGCCGGTACTGGAGAAAGGTCTGTCCCGAAAATTCAGAATGAGAGCTATCTGCCAGATGACCAATTGGTGGAAAAACACCCTAAGAACTGTCTTCCTCAACTGCTTATTTAACATTTGTAGGAAAAGTCTGGTCAATGACAGCAATACATTGTAAAACCCTCAGGAAGTAGCTAACATTTGGTGGACGATTTTTACATATATGGCAATTTTCAAAATCAGTATTATAAACTGTGATACAAATGATGTAGTAGACAAAGTGAAAAAAATGGATTCATATGTGTTAAATGTGTGGAATCCGTAGAATGTGTCCTTCTGCCACAAAGTGAGCACTCAGTAAACGCTGGTGAATATTATTATTGCTGTAAGTAGTGAGGTTTATGATATGTTGTTTGGCTGGAGAGACGACTCAGTAGTTAAGAGCATTCACTGTCTGCTGTTTCAAAGGCCTTGAGTTCAAATCCCACCAACCACCTGGTGGCTCACAACCATCTGTAATGAAATCTGTTGCCCTCTTGAGGAAGGGACCTGGTTAATCGTCCTCATCAATTTCTACCATGAAGCCCAATATGGACAAGTTCAACAGAACTGCCATACCCAAGCTGCCCACGCATGCAAGGACATACATTTCATTCACGATAAGTTGGTTCAAGCCATAGAGTATGGAATTTAGGTTTAAGCCCTAGCTAGATCCACACAAATCTCAGCTCCAGTGAATCAACAACAAACTATGCAGTCGAAGAAAAGTCTGTTTTTGTTTTTGTTTGTTTGTTTTGCTTTCCAGCTTACCCAAGTGATGGGACCGACAGGCATTTAGCAGCCACTTCAGCCCACTCTATAATCCCACACGATGCTCAGAGCTCAGGGCTTCAGAGACGTTTGACAGCTGCCTTCCCATCAGCTCGTAGTGTTGACAGGAATGAGAAAAAATGGTGCTGATTGCCCAGTGCTCACATCCAGACTGTGTCGTCTGGTGGTGAATAGTCCAGATCCTTGTAGCACATGAGGATGGGGGTTTGGGTGAGAACTCTTTCAAAGAAAGATGGGGGAGTCTAAAGAACCACGGAGAGAGAGCCTTTGCTCCTCACTGTGCTGCTCTTTCCTCGTGACAGAGTTCTCAAGGGTGTGTGTGTGTGTGTGTGTAATAATCCTGTATTGAATATATGGCAGAATAGCATAATTATGCCAAAAATTTGTATTTTAAAATTTCCTTGAGGACATTATAGTGTAGCTGAATGGCAAAAGAGCTACTCGTCTTCATTTCTATACTTAATAGTTGTAAAGAAAGCACTTCTAGTAACATTAGTGTGCTAATAGTGGAAAGAGTAAGTGCTTTACATACAGTTAAGACTTTGCAGGAAGATATTATTGGAACCACTATGAAATGAGCCCAAGCTGAAATGATAATTACCCATTAATTGGTTAGATATATTACATGGATACTAAGGAGGAGTTGGACGATGGAGGCCACACACACTGTTTTTTCCTCCAGTCTTTATTAATCTTTGCAAACACAAGGCACCATACTCCAGTTGAATTAGGTACCTATAGCTTTCTGGCTACATTTCTTATTCCCCTCTGTCCTCACTGATTAAAGGAAATCACATCGTGTGGCTGATATCAAACTCATATGTGTTTGGCAAAGATTAAATGGAACACTTGGAGGGTCAGATCCTGCTGAGAGGATAACAAGATGGGGGCGTTAATTCCATATTTAAGAAAATGACGTCATCTCCACTGGAATATTCTATCTGGGGGTTTGGTCCTATAATACAAAAACTTTTTTTTTTCATAGAGTTTCTCTGTGAACCAGTCCTGCTATTCTGGAACTCACAATGTAGACAAGGCTGGCCTTGAACTCATAGAGATCCACTTGCCTCTGCCTCTTCAGTGCTGGGATTAAAGGCGTGCACCACTACTGGCCAGCTGTACAGAAACATTCAAACACAGTGAGGAGAGAGCACTAGAGGGTTTGGGGGATGGGAGGGGTTGAATTCTCTGCTATTTTAGAGGACAGTACAGTACCCACCCCTTCCACTGCCGCACCTAAGTCCTTTACCCTGGGTGGCAAAACACATTACACCTAAGCTTAAGACCAATTCTTAGCTAGGTGACCCTTGGTTAGTCACCCCACTTCTCCAGACTTCAGTCCCTCATAAACCAAGGCTAACCCAAGGATTCATTCAACAGGCATTTAATGGAATACTTCCTATGACTCCATCCCTGGTAAGCCAAGGCTAACCCACAAATCCATTCAACAGGCATTTAATGGAATACTTCCCATGACTTCAGTCCCTGGTCAGCCAAGACTAGCCCAGAAATCCGCTCAACAGGTATCTACTGGAACACTGCCTGCATGCTAGCTGTTGATGGACTAAAAGGTAGTTATGTCAGAAAAGGGGCAAAGTCTCTGCCATCTATACAAATAATTACAAATTGCATCACGTGTTTGGCAAAGAGGGTAAGATGGAAAGCCACGCCTGAAGATGTTGCGTCTAAGACAACATCTGGAATACAAATCAGGGGAAGTGAGCCAAAAAGCAGGGAAGAAGAGGTGTCCAGTAGAGAAGAAAGCAAATGTGCAAGACCCAAGGAAGAAGGGCTTGACAAGTACAAGAAGCCAAGCAAAGGCCACTGCGTCGATTTGGTGGTGAGAGTTGAGAATAATGGTTTTTATCTCAGAGATAAATCACAATTGCTGTGGTTGGTAAATCACAGATGCATAGCCCCCAGCAATGTTCAAAGTCAATTTCCCCCCTTCTCATTGACACAGCTATTTATGTCACTGTCCTAGAGAAACTGAGACGAGAGAAAATTGGCTAGCCTTACCTCAGCCAGCGGCAGAGGTGTGGGGAGAATGCTTAGGTCCAGACTCATGAGACAGTTTCTCAGTCAGCTTCAGAAATGTGGGGAAAACGAACTCTGTGCCACAGAGGAGAGTTAGCCGTAAACTGTTCACAAATGCATCATGGGAGCAACTGGGGGTTCTCCAGCTTTCTCCTGATTCTCTCATAAATGCATACGGCTAAAAGGAGAACAGGCCTTGTATCCTTTCCCTCTTCTCCCTCAGAAGGATAGGCTGAGGAATTTATGAGAAGGACTGTAAGGAACAAGAGCCTAATATTAGCACAAGAAAGGGCTTGTGGATGCTCAGTTTTACAAAACAACATTTCATAACACAGACACAATTCTCTTCTGGGGCATGGAAAAGATGGGCAATCAATCTGCACCTTTTGGGAATGAAAGTCGGGAGTGAGTCCTGCGTATTTGAGGAGGGAGAAAAGTCTGAAGGGAAGGAGCAGTAGTAGAAAGGGTTGTGTGCGAACAGACCCCGAGCGAGAGTTTCAGCTGACATGGCTCTATTCGGGCTGCAAGCTACGGAAAAGAAAGAGGACACGGTGTTCATGTATGACCGTGCAGTCACGACCACATGTGTGTCAGCTCCTCTACGCTGTGGGCTCTGCACAGCCACCCTCAGCCAGCTCAGTGCTTGATCTTCCACCATGCCGTGCACTGAATCACCTTTCTAAGCAACTGAAGGTATAACCAGGGACAAAAGTTCATGTAAGCATCCAAGGAGAATTATGAAATCTTTGTGCTCCCATTTTTCACTGGGATCCCAGTTCGAGTAACAGAAAACTAATTCTCCAGCAAATTCTAAGCCAATAGGGTTCTGATTACTGGCACAATCATTCCTCTGAGTTCAGCAGGACCAAGATTAAGTCCCCTGCAATGGACTCTAATTTTGCTCCTGTCTGGGGATGATCTATGGCTCTGCTAAATAACAACAACAACAACAACAACAAAAAAAACCAAAAACCTTTCAAAATGAAAAGAAATTAACCAACAGAAAAGCCCTCTGCATTGTAGCCCAATCATCATCCAGGAGAAAGAAGACAGGGAAACT